GACATGATAACAATACGATCGCCGGCATCCATCATGGCCGTGTTCTTCCCGCCGAGGTTCACTACACGCCCGCTCTTCTTAACCCACACATTACGGCCCCGCTGCCCGTCCTCGCCGCCCGCCATACCGTACGGCGCAAACGCCCGCCGCTCGCTGAGGATGCTGACCTTGATCGGGATATTGAACTCGATGTCCCGAATGATGCCGTCGCCTCCCGTGTGAGCTCCCTTGCCGCCACTTCCCTCGCGCAGGCAGAATTGGCGGAGGATGACCGGGTACCGCCGCTCAAGCGACTCCGGGTCCGTGATGCGCGTGTTGGTCATGTTGGTATGCACGCCGCTGACACCGTCCCAGCTCGGTCCGCCGCCCGCGCCGCCGCAGATGGTCTCGTAGTACCCGAAACCGGTCTCCGGATCATCTGTGCCGAACGTCAGGTTGTTCATACACCCCTGGCTGGCGGCCGCCGCGCCAAACGCCTTGAAGATGACGTCGACGACGCGCTGCGAGGTGAGCACGTTGCCGGCGCACACGGCGGCGTACTCTGTGGGCTTCAGCAACGAGGCCTCGGGGACCTGGACGTCGATGGGGCGGATGGCGCCCTGGTTGAGCGGGATCTCGGCGTCGACCATGCAGCGGAGGGCGAAGATGATGGACGAGTTGCAGATTGCGATGGGCGCGTTCCAGTTGCCGTAGGCTTCGGGGCCGGTGCCGTGGAAGTCGAAGACGGCGCCGCCGGTGGAGGGGTCGATTGTGACCTTGAGCTGGATCGGGGTGCCGTCGTCCATGTAGTCGATTGCTTCTAGGGGTTTGCCTGCCGTGCGCTTATGGATCGTCTTGAGCATGTCGCGAACGGCGCGCTCGGCTGCGCCTTGGATCTCTTCCACTGTTTGGGGTCAGTATGGGAAGTTTTAAAGCTGTAGTTGAAGAGAAGTGACTTACTGTAGAACTGGACGACGTCGAGACCGTAGTCCTCGATCAGAGAGTGAATCAGCTGGCTTCCGCGGTGGTTCGCCGCAGCCTGCGCCTTGATGTCGGAGATGTTGTCGCGGAGGCACCGGGTGCCGGAGCAACCCGGCGAATGCGCCGGCGCCATGAGGAGGTCGGTGAGCTCTTTCTCCTTGAAGACGCCGCCCTCGACGACCTTGAAAGCCTTGATGACGGCGCCCTCCTCCCACAGCTCCTTGGAGTTGGGGGGCATGGAACCCGGGAGGATACCGCCCACATCAGCGTGGTGGCCTCTCGAAGCGGTCCAGAAGATGATCTTGCTGCCCTCGGCGTTGAAGACGGGCGTGATTACTGTGAGGTCGGGGAGATGGGTCCCGCCGCAGACTGGTGCGTTGGAGAGGATGACGTCTCCAGGCTTGAGGTTGTCGCCCCAGTGGTCAATTTGCCATTTAACAGCAAAGGCCATACTTCCGATCTGAACCATGTTAGTCTTCCTATTGACCATCCCTTGGACTTTCTTTGAGGAGCTTACCATGGCAGGGACGTGAGGGGCGTTAGCCACAAGCCCGCCATCAGGCGAAAACACGGTACACGAGAAATCCAGCCTCTCCTTGATATTGGTGCTCACGCTCGTCTTCTGCAGCGCGCGACCAGCCTGTTCCGCAACGCCCATGAATCGATGACCAAAGATGGACAGCTGAATCGGGTCAATCGTCGTCGTGGAGATGGTCTCCTTTGTCCCGACCGCGACGTCAATCACCACCGTCTCGGAGAGCACCGTCGCCGCCGCGTCGGGGATCACCACAATCGTCTGCTTATCGTCCATGATGAGCGCCGGGCCGGCGATCTTGGTATGCGGCGTAAGACCCGCGAGGCCATACACAGGCGTCTCTGACCAGCCCAGGCCCTTGAAGTAGACCTGCTTCGTCGTCTTGGCGGGCGACGCGGCCGTCGCCTCGGCGTAGGCGAGCTCCTTGGGCCAAGGGACGGGGAGCTGGACCGTCGTCTTGCCGATGGCGCGGACGCGGTAGTCGTCGATTATGACGTCGCGGCCGACGGGCAGGAACCCAAACTGCTTCTGGTGAGCGTCCTTGAAAGCCTCGAGGTATCCTCCCCCCGGCGCAGCCGCCGTCTCCTGGATCATCAGCGGGGTATCGCTACCCTGGAAGCGCATGTTGAGGTATCGCTCGCTCATGATGCGCTCCTCGGGGATGCGCTGCATGAGGAGGACGTCTCCCGCTTTCTCGACGAGCTTGTCGAGCTCCGAGGCGAAGGTGGCGAGGTTGGCCTCGGTGTAGGTCAGGGCGCAGGGGCTGCGCTCCTCGCTGACGACGTCGGCGAGGGCCATGCCGTAGGCGGAGAGGACGGAGGAGTACTTGTGGACGAGGACCCGGGAGATGCCGAGCGTCTTTGCAATGTCGCAGGCGTGCTGGCCGCCGGCGCCGCCAAAGGAGGCGAGGTTGTGCAGCCCTGCGTCGTAGCCTTTTGCTTCGGTGAGGGTGCGGATGGGGCGGCACATGGACTCGTTGGCGACGTCGAGGAAGCTGCGTGTTGTGTCAGTCTAGAAACTTCTTACTGATGAGATGGATCATCATATGGTCACTTACCCAGCTGCGGCTTGTTCTACGGTCAGGGCGGTGCCCTCGTCCTTGTTGATATTCGCCGTGAGCTCCTCAAAGAGGCGTCTGCTGGCGTCGACATCCAGGGGCAAGTCTTCGTTGGGACCAAAGATCTTGGGGAAGAACTCGGGCCTCACGCGGCCGAGAACGACGTTGGCGTCGGTGACGGTCAGGGGTCCGCCCTTTCTGTAGCAGGCCGGGCCGGGGTGTGCGGAGGCACTTTCGGGTCCGACCTTGAACATGCCGCTCTGCCAGCTGAGAATGCTGCCGCCGCCCGCAGCGACGGTGTTGATGTCCAGCTGCGGAGTCTGGACCATGACACCGGCCGTCGTGGTCTCGAAGACTTGCTCGAGCTCGCCAGCGTATCTAAGGCAATGTGTCAGTATCGACTTCACGTAGTGAGGTCTTCATTCATCCATACCTTGAGACATCAGTACTCGTACCGCCCATATCGAACCCAATTACAGGCGTCTTATCCGCATCGTCATAGCACGTTCTCGCATACCCGACGACACCACCAGCAGGCCCAGAAAGAATAGCCCTCAGGCCAGACAGACCAGAAAACTCTACCAAGCCGCCATCGCTCTGCATGAACTCGCACCGGCACCCGCTATTGGCGAGGTCCTCGAAGCCGGACTCGAAGCCAGCAATGTAGCGCTTGATCTCGGGGGTCAGGTAGGCGTCGGCGGTGGAGGAGTTGCCGCGAGGCACGATCTTAACGACGGGGGAGAGCTCGGCGCTCGGGGAGATGTGGGTGAAGCCGATGTCGGCGGCGAGCTGGGCGATGGCCGCCTCGTGGTCGCGGAAGGTGTAGCTGTGCATGAGGCAGACGGCGATGGAGCGGTAGCCCTCGTCGTAGGCTTCTTGGAGGGCCTTTCTGGATGCCTCGAGGTCTGTGGATGTGTGATTGTGTTAGTTTATGCTCGCTTTGCGAGGGAGATTGTTCAAGAGATGAGCTTACCCAGAGGCTCGAGGACCCTGACTGCTTCGCCGGTGACGCCGGTGACGAGAGCGGAGTCTGAAGAGACGTCGATGGGCTCGGGCTTGTTGTTTTCTGACCATGCGTCCAGTGTCACGCGTTCTGGGATTTCAATGACTTTTGAGTATAGTACGTCGGGCTTGCGGATGGCAAGGTCAAAGAGTTTCGGCCTTGACTGGTTGCCGATGTGCAGGAGATCCTGAAGGTCACTTGTAAGTATAAGAGCTCCCGAGCTTTCGATGTCTAGTCCTGGTCTCACCTTAAGGCCTTTGGTGACAGCAAATACCGTACGTTCTCCTTTCCTCTCGAGGAGAGCGTTTGTGGCTACTGTGGTTCCCATCTTGATAGACTCTGTAATACCACTGTCAGCGAGGTGTCAACAGCCCGGCGAAGTGATCTTTCACGTACCGACACCTCGCAAAGAGATCTTCCTCCCCTTGGGATATTCCTTTCCTGTTGCCTTTTCCAGGACTCTTCTAATCGCTTCGACTGGGGCATCGGGGTAGTTGCTGGGGTCAACCGAAAGCAGCTTAACGAGAATATCATCTTGGCCGGGTACAGATGCAACACACTGAGACGTTAGTACTTAGTCACCTTAGACCCTTTCAAACACTCACATCAGTAAAGGTGCCACCGCGGTCGATGGAAATCCTGATTCCCCCCACGGGGCCCGGAAGTGAACCCATGATGATTAGTACTCTGAGTTTACAATGGAATTATTGAATGCGAAAAGAAAGTATCTGAAAGAACGAACTTCAGATTTTCAGAGTTGTCAAGGGATTTCGTGATGGTGAATGGAACGGAAATGAGTACTATCGGATTGAGATGGAATTCAGTGAAGCTGGAATTCGCGATGATTATACAAGTTCTCATGAAGGTCGCGGGCAGACACTCGATAAGCCCAAAACGGCAATCACCCGAAGCCTTCCCCCACAAAATTCATCGCCGGAGCTCCCCTCGGCAGGTGTCTTCGGAGAGAAAGCCAGAGAGTCCTTGACTTGAGTTCAGTTATCCCACTCTACGTTGGTCGCGGATGCTCCACTTGGTGCATTTTCATAGTCAAGATGGAAAAGTACGGATAGAAGGACGAAGTGGAGGCGGAGTGAGTAAAGGAGAGAGGGAGAGCTCCTTCGTCATCTGCATTTGGGGATCCGATAAGCGATGAGATGTGCAGGCGAGAATCGACCCCCCCCCCCTTTCTGCCCCTCAGCGTCCCCGCGGAGAGATGATTGACGGGCGGCGGGGTCGGTGGTTCGGCTTATCAGCTTCGGGAGGGGCAGCCGAAGGGCGGAGCTCCGCTCTGCGGGCGACGGCGTCACTGGTGTGTGTACCTTCGGTATGTGTTAGCATCATCCTTGGTCTAATTGGTCTGAGTGGTCACCGGCATTCTAAGTTCGGTGCTTTTCAATCAGAGGAAGTCATTTACACAGCGATTTCGGACATTGAAATGAGATTTTCCTTTGGCAATGTAATGTACCATTATGAGCTATGCTAATTCCACGACATATGGCTAATTCACGATCATTGCACACTCCGAACCGTCTCATCAAGAGCCTTTGCAAAGTACTCTACATTCTTCTCGTTCAGACCCGCAATCGAAATTCGTGATGTATCGGCCATGTAAACGTGGTATTTCTCTGTGAATCAATCGTCAGCATCTCGTAAAGTATACTAAACTAGTACTTTCTGAACGGGGGCGACAAACCTTCGAGGTGCTGAACCTGTGTCTTGGTGATACCAGTGTACCCAAACATGCCGCTCTGCTTCACGATATGCGACCAATCTCCCGGGGTCTGCAGCCGAACAAGCTCATCGTAAACCTTCTTCCTCATGGCGCGAATGCGGCCCGACATGGTAATCAGGTCCTTGGCCCACTGCTCCTTGACATCCGGCGTCCCCAGCACCGCAGCCGCGATGCGCGCGCCGTACGCAGGCGGATTCGACACCGTCGCCCTCTGCACATTCTCCAGAATCGAGTTGACCGTCTTCGTCCTCTCCGCCGTGTCTGCCACAAACGTGACGGCGCCGACGCGCTCGCCGTACAGACCCATATTCTTGGCAAACGACATGCACACGGCGGCCTCGAGGCCGAGCTCGTCGACGAAGTAGCGAATCGCCCAGGCGTCGTCGTCGACGGAGCCCGAGTTGAAGCCAAGATAGGCCGAGTCGAAGACGGGGAAGATGTTCCTCTCGATGATGGCCGAGGCGATCTTCTTCCACTGCTCCTGCGAGGGGTCGCAGCCTGTGGGGTTGTGTGCGCAGGCGTGCAGGATGACGGCCGAGGTGGACGGGTCGGCGGCCTTGAGGGTCGAGATATAGCCGTCAAAGTCGAAGGCGCGGTCTTTGTAGTAGGGCAGGTGCCTGACCTCGAAGCCGAGGGAGGCGAAGAGGAGTTCGTGGTTGGACCATGTCGGGTCGGTGATGTAGATTGTCTTGATGTGGGCGGCGGCCTTCTTCAGGGCGAGGCCGGCGAGGAGGAGGGCGCCTGTTCCGGAGAGCGATTGGCATGATGCGACCTATGAAGGTGGTTAGTTGGTGGTCTATTGGATAGCTCTATGCAAGCACTTACACGGTTCTCTGCGAATGCTTTTGTGGAGCTAAAGACCAGCTTTACGGCTTCATCGCGGAAGGGCTTGAATCCCGCGATAGGAAGATACTCGTGCCCAGGCTCTCCGAGGGACGCTTCTGCCAGTCTCACAGATGGCAAGATCCACGGTTGACCGTTCTCATCGCGATAGGTGCCTTGACCGAGGTTGACCTTGTTTGGATCCGTATCAGCGACGTAGCGCCTGGTGACATCGAAGATGGCGTCGGGCGGGATGAACTCTGCTTGCTCAAAAGCTGACGTTTGCTGCTTGACTGAACCCATTGTTGACTATTTGATAGAATTGCTGTGAAAATACGAAAAGTGAAGCTGCAATTCTCTCGTCGAGAGACGAAAGGTTGCGACGGCGAGGTATGAGTAGTAGACCAGGGATCTCGGGACCCCAGCCGACTCGGAGTTGGAACCCGGTCAAGGGTCCGGCACCGGCGTGAGTCGAGCTCGGATGAGGGGCCCGCGGGGTCGCAGTCCACTTTGATGGAGTGCTCCATTCTGAGATTATCAAATGCTCCGAAACTTACGGGTCAAGACCGAAGCATGTCATTTCGGCGGAGGGACGATAATGGGTATGACAGGGCCAAATAAGAGTAGCTAGCAATCCCTCTCATGAAGGATTTCGTATGTGTTTTGAATTGGTATAATCAAGATTATTTTGTCTCACTGCATAGAATACCTTAGACCAGACGAAATGGCCCCTCGTGCACCCCCTCGCGGCATCTACGCCCCCGTCGTGGCCTTTTTCCACGAAGACGAGACTCTCGACATCGAAGCTTTGAAGACTCACATTACGCGGCTCGCCAAGTCGGGCGTGGCCGGCCTGGTCATCCAGGGATCCAACGGAGAGGCGCCGCATCTGCTCCACTCGGAGAGACAGCAGGTCATCGCAACGGCGGCCGAGGTACTCAAGCAGCACGGAAAGCCCGAGGCCGTCATTATCGCCGGCTGCGGCGCGCAGAGCACACGGGAGACGATCCAGCTCTGCACCGAGGCCAAGGAGTCCGGGGCGGACTACGCTCTCGTCCTATCGCCGAGTTACTGGAGTGAGTTCTCTTGGGCCACTAAACCGTCAAAGATGAAGCTCCAGATCTTTCAGATTACTGACCCGTCTTTTTCGTGAATAATTGTAGCCGGCGCGATGCAAAAGCCCGTGATCCAAAAGTTCTTTGACGACGTCGCAACGGCATCGCCCATCCCCATCCTCCTATACAACTTTCCCGCCGTGACATCGGGCATCGACCTCGACTCGGACCTCATCGCCGACCTGGCGGCCTTGAATCCCAAAGTCGTGGGCTGCAAGCTCACCTGCGGCAACCTAGGCAAGCTGCACCGCGTCGCGCACGACGAGCGCATCCCTCAGCCTTTTGCCGCGTTCGCGGGCAAGTCGGACTTTTTCCTGCACGGGCTTGTGGCGGGCTCCAACGGTGTCATCGCGGCGGCGGCCAACTTCACGCCCAAGGTGCACGTCAAGCTGCTGGAGCTGTACGATGCCGGCAAGCTCAAGGAGGCGACCGAGCTGCAGACGAAGCTGAGCCGGGCGGATTGGGTGCTGGTGCAGCTGGGCGTTGCCGGGTTGAAGGCTGCGCTGGATAGGTATTTCGGGTATGGTGGGGGACGGAGCAGGCGGCCGCTTGGCCTTGTTGCGAGCGCAAAGTTTGAGGGAGAAAAGGATGCGGTGCTCAAGGACTTGGTTGACTTGGAGAGTTCGCTGTGAACCTCCAGCTGGACATGATGGAAGAGATGCAGATAAGATAAAGATAAGATAGAGATAAGATAATACCACTCTCATGATAAGATGAGATGCCTTTGGCCAACAGCTGTCAAAGACTGTCAGCCTGGGAATTTCACAGCTGCTGCCAGTCGTCCGACCAAACCACCAGTCGTGTTCCCGGCTCTTCTTCCTCGTCTTCAGTTCCCTGTGCACATTTCTTCCGTCCTCATCTCAACCTCTAGACTTGCCTTACGTACTCGCGCTTCGTTTAGTCCTCGAAGCCACTTGCTTCACCGCAGATCTCGACTCGATCCGTTCTTTGCTGGATGTCTAAGATTCGAACTTTTAGCCCGCGACGCCCGGCTGGACTAGAGGTGCCTCAAGAGACTTTAAGCTTACTGGACCAACTCCAAAGAGTTCCTTATCCGTCCCTTGCCGACGAGGCATGTTAAAACTTTGGTGTAAGCCCATTGGACAGACCCGACCGGGGGTGGCTGATAGCACGAACTGATGCTGGAAGCTAAACAGCACTCCTAATGCCCCATCGCCTGCTCCCAGCCACCCCAGATACTTTCTTCATCTTCACCTCTTCAGACTAAGCAGGACGGATTACTGATGTGGACTGTTCTAGTTTCTCGCGGCATCTAGACCCAGATTGTCGGGTCATAGCCATACTCTTCTGCCCCAGTCTCGACTGCCTTGGCTACCTTATGTTGGTTTGGCAGATTACAGATTATCGTCGAGAAAACCCAAGACATGTCGCATAAGAGCGATGAACGAGCAAGGCAATCATGTCAGACAGTCTCAATTCAGCCCAATTCCCCCACCTGATCGTCGCTATCGCACGTTAAAAACGGCCGCTGCAACCAGCTTCTTCTGGCCGATGCAGCCGATTGCGGCCTCCCATCGCTCACTCTCACCTTTTCTCTTCCAAGCGCCAAATGCATGAGTGGCTTGCTCCATCATTGGCCGGAGCTATCGAGGATAGCTGGTAACGTAGCTTGGAGCTCAATCGCGCCATGCAGTCACCCCGCACCTTGGCCTCTTGAGTTCGGCCCTCCGTTCACAACTCTCTCTCTCTCTCTCTCTCTCTCTCTCTCTCTCTGCGTGTCTGCCTTTCACCTTATCACCTCGACAGCCTCCAACTTCCTTCACCTCTCCCTGATCTGGACAACTCACTTGGCTCGGCTTACTTGAAGGTCAGCCATGTGCCGCCATCTCCACTCTGCTAGCATGCAGACACTGTAGATCCTTGCTGCGCTTTCCACGCCATCCCGCGTCGGCCCCATCCGTCACCACCGCCATCGTCGACCATCCATCTGTTGGAGTCGCACCGGTAGCCAAGAAAGACAATGCTGCCCGTCTGCCATGTCCGGCCTTGTACCCTGACTCGTTCTGTCACTCTGGGCCTCAAGCACGTCATGTACTGCCTACATTACCCCTCCGAGACAAGCGTCCTGGGGGAAGGAAGGAAAGACACTCGATGGCTTATCGAGGCGACATGCGGTGAGAAGCTGTCACTCATGTCCCCCTCTGAGGTGAAGATGGTGTAAGCCCAGCTAGCTTCCGGTCGCCGCCCTGCTGCATGCGAGCCTTGCATGCTCCGGTCCTTCCAAGCTCTCCTCTGCCTCTAGACTGGTGGTCTGGCTTTGTTCTTTTAAGCCGAGCTCTCCCCTCCATCCTCTCTTCCGAGTAGCTGTTCGTCTGTATTGGATTTGATCTCTCCGTCTCGAGCCTCCTGTTGTCTGTGTAAGCCCGTACTGCAAGTTCAGTCACCCAAATCTCGCAACCGTATGATACACAATCCAGGCTTCTCGCCCGCCATGTCTACCCTATCTCTGATTGTCTTCATTGGGGCCCTGATCGCAACGACCTCGGCCGCGCCCTCGACTCCTTCAGTATGGGCGTCCGTCGCAATGGTCATGCACGGTGAGCGCACGCCGGTACGCAGCGGGCTCCAAGATACCCTGACTCCTTTGGGTGCTCAGGAGATGTATGCCCAAGGTAGCGCCTTTAGAAGTCGTTACCTGGCCAGCGGAACGCCTACAAACACCTCCGAGGGTCGCATCACGACCCGGGCCGCGATCAAGGGAATTGCGCGCAACGTGTATGAGCATGAGCAGCTCTCGATCCTCTCCCTCCCCGATGCCCACATCGCCGCCGGCGCAGCTGCCTTTATGCAAGGTCTCTACCCGCCCATCACGCAGGCCTTTGCGGCCGATACTGGCGGGACCAACATCTCGTACTCGACAATCTCTGGGAACACCACGCAGTATCCTCTGGGTGGCTACCAATATCCAATTATTGAGACGTTGGGACTGTCAGATGATAGGTCGATTGAGTAAGTCCCATTTTATTGCAAACCTTGACGCTCCTCGAGACTGAACTAACTGGCCATCGTCAAGTGTTCGTGGCAACACGGAATGCCCGCAGTGGAAGATCTCGACGACGTATGTCATGCAGCTCGACCCGTACATGCAGGCCCTCGAGCAAGCCTCCCGCCCCGGCTACACATCCCTCTTCAACACGCCGCCACTAAACGACGGTGACATCTCGCTCGCGCACGTGAACTTCTGGAACGCCTACGACATCTACGACTACGTCCGCTACCGGTACTCCCACGAGCAGGCCGTCTACAACGGTCTCCAGGATGAGTACGCCCAACGCATCGAGTTCCTCGAAATGTACGCCCGCCTCCAGCAGCTCAACATGACCTCCAACCAAGCCGTTTCGGGCCTCAAAAAGGGAGACATGATCCGTACCATCGCCGGCCGGACGTTCGCGCGCAGAGTCGTCGACGCCCTCGAGGCCAACGGCAATTTCGCCGGCTACTCCAACAAGCTGACCCTCCTCTTCAGCTCCCAGGAGCCTTTCCTCTCCTTCTTCTCCCTCGCGGGGCTCCAGAAACCGAACCAGACGCTCTCCACAACGCCCTTCTGGAGCCTCCCCGAAAACGGCGCCGCCATGGTCTTCGAGCTCGTCGGCGACCAGCCCAACGAGCCAGACACGTACCCGACCGAGGAGAACCTCTACGTCCGCTTCCTCTACCGCGAGAACGCCGAGCCCGGCACGCCGTTCTTGGAGTACCCCCTCTTCGGCCTCGCCGAGGGCGACACCCGCGTGACGTACAGCTATTTCAAGCAGGAGATGGCCAAGTTCGGCATTGACACGGCGACGTGGTGCAGCATCTGCGGTTCGATCCAGTCGTTTTGCGACTGGCAGACCACGAAGACGACGCCAACGGTCGGCGAGGCCATTCGCTCGGCCGTGCAGAAGCCTGTTGTCGCGGGTATCATTGGTGCCATCATCGTCCTCGCCGTCTTGGGGCTGGTTGTTGTCTCGGCGGCTGTTCTCGGCGGTTTCCGGATTCATCGTGCCGGGGGCGGAGCAGGAGGAAGCAAGGACGGCAATGATCGGATCGCCGGGCTCAGAGGCTTCAAGGCCGCCGAGAAGATGGCTAGCGACTTGGACCTCGCTATCTCCGGGCGCGGGGTGCGACACGAGCGTCAGGGGAGCTGGGAGCTGCGTGACGGGCGGGAGGCCTCGGGAGGCGGCGGACAGGCGGGTATTGCTGTGGACAAGAGTGCGTCGACGTTCCAGGCGAAGCCTATTGATGATGATGCCATTAGTGTCATGGGGGCTTCGCCGGTGAAGCCCAGAGAGAGTGTCTGATTGAAGGGCACAGTAGATAGGTTGGTTATGGTAGGATGATGGGATATGGACTCTCTTCTGGCTTTCGTTTTTGATACCCTTTTTGATACCCTTCCTCACGGTCATTTGCTGGAACATCTTTGCATGGGTACAAACTTTCTCTGTCTCTATAGTCTGGGGCACCATTGATACATATACTCATCTCTTGATCTAAAGTTTACTGCCTTTACAATATGGCATCACTTGAAGAGTGAGAAATGCTACGCTACACAGATCATAAATACTTGGAGACACCCACAGTGTTGCGTACAGTGCCATATTCACTAAAGAAACTGTACAAGCAACCCCACCGCAGTGACCTTCCATTCAAACCCCGCCATCACCGCCAAAACTCCAATCCTCTCAACGCGACGCGCGACCTCGTCCTCAACCCTCCAAAGACACCGAGCCACCGAGCCACCAAACAACATGTCGTCACATCAGCGGACCTTTTCTCACTCGCAATCCCAATCGGGAACGAGAGAAAAGACCTACTTTGAGCAGCAGCGCGAAGAACTCATTGGCGAAATCGCAATGGTAAGCACCCGGTCGGCCTCTCGTTCCCCGGAGAGACAAGCATCAACAAAAACAGACACATGAATGCTAATTGAGATCATCTCAATCAGAACTTTGAGCAAGTCCTTGCCAACATCAACAAGCTGAATCGTTCGCTCGAGGCAGTCATTACGGTAGAGTCTTTACCTTTTCCCCCCTTTTCGAATACACTGGCTTTAGAAACTCGAGCACTAATTTGGGCGGGCTTCACCGCATCGCAGGTCGGAAACGAGTTCTCCTCCGTCGAAGCGCTGTGGTCGCAGTTCGAAAACGTAATGGCAAAGGAGCCCGAGGAGAACAAGCAGGGCGATACCGAGGAGGGCAGCGACGGCGAGACGAAGACCGAGCAGAGATCATGATACCCACCAGCAACGAAATGCCTACTTTTTATGAACGATGATATTATTTCTACACGTACATCATCACCATCATGCCGCCTCTTTGCCTCCATTGCTGGGCTGCGCACGTCATCTCATCATAAGGTACTCGGCCGTTGTCACCCCGCGATAAGAAACCCCCAAAGGCCCAGTCGTCTCGACCTTCTTAACCACCTTGCGTCTGCTCTCCGCGTCCGGCTTGTTCGCCAGCTCCCCCAACCCAGCCACCAAATCGCCATAATTCGACTCCCGGAGCTTCTCCAACCCCTCAGCGACAGCGAGACACCTCTCTCCTCCCTCTGTCAGCGCTCTAACCCGTCTCTGCAAATCGGCGCTGAGATCTCCGTGCTTCACCAGAAACAACGACTCGAGCGAAGCCGCCATGATCTCCAAGCGGACCTCGTCCATCTCATTTCCGGGGCTCCTCGCGTCGCGATCGTCTCTAAGGTGCTGGAGCTGCTCAACAATATGGCCACGATCGTCTTCTGTGGGATTATGTGCGTAGTCTTCCGATTCCGAGGGCAGCTTCTCCGTCGGCTCCATCTCGAATCTCATCTCGGTGACGGCGGTGTCTCGCTCGCTTGTCGTAGTCGTAGACGTATCTCCAACAGCACTGTCCCCATGTCCATCAGAAACCGAGGCGCTGCTGCTGCTGTCGTCGCTGCTCATAGCAGACATCCGAGCCTCAACGCACTCCAACTCCTCCCTCAGAATCCCCTCCTGCCACCCAAGAACTTTCCACCTTGCTCTCTCCCATTCAAACCCATCTCTCGCCTCACCAACAACACCAGCCAACCTCTCCACATCCTCGCCCAGACCATCCGCCGTCCTGCAAAGCCCAGCAAACGCATCAGCGACCCTCAGATGCGTCATACCGACAGTCTTGCACGTCTCCTGCACAACACAGACATGCCTCCAAAGCAAATCCCTCTTCTTTCGCCCTGTACACGGGAAACATCTCTCCAACCCCGTCTTCTTGGCAGCGCGCTGCGCCAAACTGGCGAGAAGCTGCTCAACGTCCCCCCGCGGCGCCTCGGCACTCCTTCTCCGAGTTGATGTAAGGCTCTCTGCGCACCTCGTTTTCCAGCGCGGCGAGCGCGTCGTTGAGTTTAGCAACTTGCGCATCAAGGCTTGCGACGTCGACGGACGATAGTAGTTCGGGTACGGGATGTTCGGGATTGAGGTCTAGATTTGGGCTTGGATTTGGGTTTGGGTCGCCAACAACGTTGCTTTCGGTTCGGACCAGTGTGGTGGGTCGCCCGTCGTTGGTGTAATGGGCGAGATCACCTTCTCGCGGGAGATCGGCGATCAGAACCTGGCGTGCCTGGGCAGAAGAGTCCATGGTGCGTAACGATCGGCTGGTGTCAATTTATTGCAAACCTGATGAATTCAAAGATTTTAGGGATTGAATTTGTAACCGAATTGATGAAAAATGTATCCCAGTGTAGAGAATCCCATTCTTATCAGTCTCCTGTCGGACCTTTCTCCGATGCCTCGTTGGACTGCATCTCAAGTTTTCCTTGCCAATCGTATTGGCTTTCTCATGAACTGCTGAACCACGGCACTCGGAAACTCAAAATTTTACATAGATCAGTGTTTTTCACTTTCATCTCACACATCACTTACGGCACGATATAACAATTGATTTGATGCTTTTAACATTTTATGTTTCCTATCCCTCGGGAATGCCCTATCAAGACAGAAAACCCCATGCTGCTACAGGAGAGGAAAAAGAGAAAGGAAAATAAGAAAATAAGAAAAATTACCCCTCAGGGTCCAAGAGGTTACCTGATGGTTACAGAAAAAAACTGATCAAAGTCTCCCCTGTACCCGCTCCGTTTGTGTGTGTGTGTTTGTTTGGCGTAAAAAAAATAAAGGGTATGGATGAGTCTCGAGAGACTCGGATGAGAAAACCACTCACTTTCCCTCCCACTCCCTTTGTTTCGTTTCCCACTTATATACCATTCGTTCTTCTTCATCAAACAACAAGAAGAAAATCTCTCTCCCAACATCCCTGGTGGGGGTAAAACTTTCGTCTCCGGTCTAGAGTTCATCCAGCCCTAGAGCAGGAGACGCCCCCCTTCGCTAATGGTGGCGCATGCTTTCTCCAGATCGTAATAGTAGCAGGTCGTGACGAGATCATGCAGATAAAACAAAAAGTCATTCATTACGCCCTCCGCCGGTGTCCAATGCCTCTTCGTTACAACCCCGAGGTCCTCAGTAGGAATCTCACAGGATCTTGCAATTCCTCTTCTTCTTCTTCTTAAGAGCGACGCCAGGGAAACCTGCGCTGCTTCCGGGCGGACCACTAGGCGTTGACGGGGAGGCGGCGGCTTGGGCTTCTTGGTTTTTCCGATCATTGGCGACGACCGTCAGGATGGCCTGTTCAAAGATCTCGTCCACGCCAGTCATCTCCTTGCTGCTGCACTCTACGTACTGGGCGCCCATCTTGCGGGCAACGGCGCGGCCTTGCTCCTGGGTCACGGGCGTGAGGCCTTGTGTCTTGAGCATGTCGATGCACGTTTTCTTGAAGCGGAGATCGGACTTGAGGCCCACGAGGACCAGAGGAGTGTAGGGGCAGAAGTGGAGGACTTCGGGATACCACTGGCAGGAGAAGAAATTAGCATTAGTGTCAAATGGCGTTGCCCCAGAAAAGGAGGGGCATGTCATCTGAGGGGCGGTGGTTAAATTACCTTGTCCATGACGTTTTCAAGCGAGTTTGGGCAGTCAATCGCAAAACACACGAAGATCAAGTCAGTCTCGGGGTAAGAGAGCGGTCGCAACCGGTCGTATTCCTCCTGGCCGGCCGTGTCCCATAGCGCCAGTTCCACCGTCTTGCCGGACGGTGGGTGCGTCGGGTAGGTGATGTAGTTCTCGAACACAGTGGGGACGTATTTCTGTTGTCGCCAGAGTCAGCATTGTTTTGGCTCATTTCGCTCCCCAGCAACACGCAAATGACACCAATGTTGCGCTCGAAAGGATTTGGTTATTTTTTCTGCTTGGTTGCTCACCTCTGGAAAGTAGCCTTGGCTGTAACTGATGAGGAGACATGTTTTGCCGCAGCCGCCGTCGCCGACGACGACAATCTTCTTGGAATAGGCAGGACCTTCGGTGACGTGGGTTGCGGCGCTCTCGCGGCCTGTTGAAGAGCTCATTGTGGTGCTGACGGTGCCGTCGCTACTCCTAAGGCGTGTGTTGCGGCGGGATGTGGCCGGGCGGCCGTCGTCGTACTTTTCGCTAATGTTCTGAGACGAGTTGTGGTATGAGTTGCGGTATTGGTATGAGGACGCCATACTGCGGCAGGCTCGAGCTGTGTTTGAGGTGCTGTGATGCGATGACGAGGGAGTCCGTTTCGTGGCGTGGCCCCTCGTGCGTGTTTGCGAGATGGGTTGATGTGATGATGAGTTAAGATAGATACCGGGGGCCGGTGCGTGCGCTCGTCTGGGGGTGGAAGGGGGGGTTGTTGGGGAGACTTGAGTGGTTTGTGCTTTTATGCGATGTTTCCCAGGTTGTGTGTGTATGCTGCCTGTTTCTTATTGCGATGGAGGAATACTGCTGATATTGATATCGCTGCTTCTCCTCAAACGAGCCTCCTCGCTTCGTGTTCAGCTACTTGCCGTGTTCAGTCGAATGCCGTTGAGATATGGTTAAGTGTGAGGCATGCAATACGGGGAAGAGACGTTGGCACGTTGCGGCGTTTTGAAGTTGAGGAATGTTGGAAAGGTGCTTGGTCTGGCTTGGGATGGTGTATTGTATGGGGGTGGGTTTGTGTGCGAGGTGGATGGGCGGGTTGTGCTGTGTTCTTGAGGAGAAGGAGCGGGAGCAAGGAGGGCAATTGTAAACAAGTCGACGGGGCAACCAGCCACTTCTTGCCGGGGTGATGACGGCAGGCGCCAGAGGAGCCACAACGACAACGCAAAGGTGGATCTCATAAAGGCGCGCTAAGGCGGATCAATCGAACCCCTGGCTGTGGCCTGGCCAAGGAAGGAACCCCCTGCAGTCTGAAAGCGGACAGCTCCCGTCAGAGTTTTTCCGGTACTCTTTCCTTCGCCGGCGGGACTACGGGACGAGAGACGAGGTGGCCCAAGCTCTGACCCCACCACCGCCTCCTTCAAAATCGCTACGTGAATTTTTCAGTCTTTCGCTTCCGTCTTCAACGAACGCGTCGTCGTCCTTCATCGAAGGCTCATATTTCGCCACGAGCATCACCGCTGAGACTTGCGAATCAATCAGAGACACGGGTACTCCTACACACGGAAGCCATCATTCCAATTTCCTGGAGTGTCTCTATCTGCTCAGCCCTCAGAAGACGAACACGCAGCATATCTCACCCGTCCGCAATCATGGATCCCAACGGCACAACCGACAGCAAGTACGTGACTCTGGTCTCGAGTGATGGCTACGAGTTTGTCGTCTTGCGGGACGCCGCCATGATCAGCCCTGCCATCAAAGGCATGTTGGACACACGCAACAACTTCCGCGAGGCTGCTTTGGGTCGCTGCGTGTTTGAAGAGATCAGGTAAGCCCCGCACAATCCAGCGCTCACTGCCACCTCTCTTTCTCTACGGCTGTTGCGATGATGAACTCCGATTTTATCGATGAGTTTCACTGACAGACCACCGCTCCAACGGCTGGTCTGCTTGATTGCCCAACTACACTTGATCTGAAACAAGCAACATTCTTTCTTTTTTTTTCCCACTACCTGTTTCCCAGCCACCTCACAAGGCTAATCTTCATTCCTTTTTGTTTCTCTTTTTTCCAAAAAGTTCTGGAAACGTCTGACCGTCTTCTCTCGGTAGTGGCGTTGTGCTTGAGAAAGTCTGCGAGTATTTCCAATACTGGTACCGCTACCGTGAGCGGGAGGACGTTCCTGACATGGACATTCCTGTCGAGCTGTGCCTGGAACTGCTGGTCGCAGCCGACTTCTTGGGCCTGGACAGTAAGACATCCCCAACCTCCTCTGACCCCAGAGCGACGGCATCTGTCTCACGGGAACCACCCAGCCGTTCTGACACGTTTTCCACAGAGCAAAATACCGGCACTGTCTGAATGACTTTTGATGACCATTTTGCATTTTGGCTTCATTGTTCATGACGGAGTTTGGGGCGTTGAGCGTTCAGGGTGGTACTAACAAACACGATACCATTGCTACGACACTATGACGAAATCCCATGCCAAAAAGGCATGTTTTTTGTTCTTTGCCATGATCTTTCTCTCGATTGTGACCCACGCTGTCACCCCAAATGTGAAAAACCAACCCCCATCTTAGCATATGCGTTCCTCCCCTCACTCTTCCGTGGGCTGAACGTCTATTAAAGATGGAAGAAGAACTATATTCCACTCACTCTGCTCGACTCAACTTTCTACCATTGAGATCTACGCTTTTTCTGTTGGGATACAGATCAACCATAGCAAACACATACATGCACAGTCGTAGCTGAATAGACCAGATTTATTGATCTTTGATGAGTGCCACTCAAATCATGTGAAACCTTGTTTCGGATTGTCCTTGGAGATATTTTGCAACTTCTAGGCAGCTCTAGACAAAAACTCGCAATTGTGATCATTTTGACCACGGAATTTGCCATGAAGTGTTTACATCCACTTTCAACAAAACTCAGTTCCAACCTCTGCCTCTGCCACGACCCCTACCGCGGCCCCGACCACCACGTCCAACACCGCGTCCACCACCACCACCTCGATGAAAGCCACGACCACCGCCGCCACGGTGTCCTCTGAACTCCCCAGCCGGCGGACCCCTCGCCTTCCTCTCCATCCTCTCCTCCTCGCTAGCATCCCACAGATTCCCAACCTCCAAGAGAGCGCAGTAGGCCGACGTCTGCGGGTTGGTATACTCAAACGGCTGCTGTGGCACAGACTCGGGCTCGCCCTCCACATGCGGCGGGGCCGTGATCTCAAAGTTGAGCGGGACATCAAGCTTGTCCTTCTGAACGATGTTCTCCTCGACCCACCGGCGCTCGGCGTCGATGAGCGGCGCGTAGTGTTCCTCGCCCAGGTCCGGGCTCGGCTGGTGGACGGCTTTGTCGCCGATGACGAGCGTGGGGTGGAAGACGCGCGTGATGGCGAGCCATTCTGGGTCGTACTGCAGACGGAAGGGCCGCGTCGGGGCCGGTTGGTCGGTGGGCAGGATGTTGTGAGGGCGCGCTTCGAGGAGCTGGAGGAAGTGGCGGCGCGGGAGGCACTTGTCGAGGGCGAGGAAGTTGACCTGCTTGTTTGTGATGGTTGGCGGGACGGGCTGGCCTGGTGTTCTCTTGGGCTGGGGCTTGGGTCTGGCGAAGGAGGCGGGGAGTTGGGCGCGGATGTCTTCGGGGACGGAGGTTTTAGTGTTGGGGGCTTCTTCTTGTACTTCTTTGCTGGGCTGTGTTTGTGTAGGTGCGGTAGGTTGCTCGTCTTCGTCATCGTCGTCCAGATCGATTTCGTTGGGATTCGTTTGTGCTGGAGCCGGAACGGCGGATGCGTCCGTGATCTCTTCATCTCCGTCCAGGTCGATCTCGTCAGGGTTATCCGGTGCTTGAACCGACTCGTGTGCCGCAGCCGGAGCAGTAGCTGGCGCCGGGGCTCCCTCTGCTGCCTCCTTCGTAGTCACCTCTTCATCCTTGTAAATCTTCAACGCCGCAAACTTGCAGTGCAAATGCGCAGAGAACCAATACGGCGGCCTGAGTCGATCGCAAACATACTCCGCTGCGACATTGCCTAGTGTTCCATCCATTGACTCCCGCTCGAAATCCGGCTTCATCCTCCACAGCGCCTTCTCATCACCCCACCTCTCAATAGCCCTTGGCCAGTCGTGGCTGATACCGACATCCACCTGCTCCCTCAACAGCAACAGCTTCCTCACATCCACCTCCCTGACGTGGTAGAAGCTCTTGATCTCGTCCGGGCCCATGGGCAGCCTCTCGTGGTGGCCCTTGCGGTAGTCGAAGCCCTTCCAGATGCCGCTCATGCCCGCGATGCGAAGCGGGCCGAGGCGCAGGACGTTGGCGGCGCCGAGGTAGTAGATGTTGGGCGCGGCCCATCCGCCGTAGAAGAGCTCCCACATGTGGCTGGCGGCCTCGTGGTTGCCGCCCGCGAAGACGGTCAGGTACGGCGCGGTGCGGCGGCCGGCGTAGTACTCCCAGAAATCGCCGAGCTCGCGGTACTTTGCGGGGACGGACATGACGGTCAGGTCGGCGGCGTTGCGGGCGGCTTGGAAGTCACCGCCGATGATGAGGAGGTCGACGCCGTCCCAGCCGCGGGCTGTGCAGGAAGCCTCGACGGCGGCGTAGATGGCGTTGAGGGTGCCGTGGCCCTGTCGGGATTTGTCAGTAGAAGAACATTTGCGTGTAAGATGGTGTTCGATGAAAGCTTACGCATCCCTCAACGGCGATCCGAACGCCGTTTGTCTCAAAAGTTTGTGTGGCCATCTTTTGGATGGTCTCTGGGAGGTGGTTGTTGTAAGGCGGAGGTTGACAGTGATTCGGTTGTACCCGCGAAATTTTCATATCAGCATCAGGACACGGGATGATGCCGAATTGGAGTTCATGAGCTTCAAAACATTCACCAGACAAATTCCTAAGGCAAACTAATTAAGAGTCACTCATTAAATCGAAAAGAAAATTTTCTGTCCGACTCAGTAACATTTTCACACCGTTCAGTTCTCACCCTTCGTCGCGATTTCAATTCATCCAGCTAGTATTTTGTGTACATCTCAATTGAAGGACAGATCACATAACACGGGTTAGATCGCTGTCCTCGACATCGTTCAATCTAGCTATGCTTAGAAAAAAGAAACTTCGAAGCGCCAACGATAATATTTCATATAGAACTACTTAGTGAGCGCGTACTGACTCAAAGCATCGACTGCCCACGCCTCAAATACATCTTGATAATTCACATCTTGTCGAACCTAGTCCAAAGTGGTTGCCTCAACTTACCTCGCGGTTTATCATAATGTCCAAACTGTCGTTCATGACCCAGCCATGGTTACGGGTTAAATATTTCTCTTTATCAACAATCAACAAAAACACATCCAGATTCAGACGTCTGTAACAGAAGGCATCCACACGACATCTGTTCGAGCATATAAGAGACCAAGGACCGATCTCAGATGACCCAACATGTTGAATTTGACATTGGCCATGAAGACCAGAGGTTAGGCTATGAGACTCGAAATAAACAGCTTGGGACAAGAGAAACAAAGGGGAGGCCAATGCTCCCATCCCCCCGGATTTATTGGGTTGCATCGCCAGGCGGTACCTTACAGTGGACCCGATGATTTTCCGACAGCCTCACACCGCTGAAGCAACCTCAGGTGCACTGTGCCCGCCTAAAAATTGGCCCCAATTGAGAGGAGGAGGAGCCTCGCGCATCGCAGCCTCGACTCCCGCGCAAACTTCCCCCCATCTACACATTACATGGGCTGCATCTCACCCTCGAATCGCCCACCATGAGCGTATGCAACCCCCGTTCCCCCTTCATTTTCGACATCTCTCTAGGATGCAACAAGCTAACAAGCCTTTTCTACCTTGCAGTTCGTGCCCATTAACCCGCGGCCTATGCTGCAAGACCTGTACGTCGTCATCTGCGTCCGCGAGACGCGCCTCTCCAACGCCAACGCCCTCTACGATCACACACATCCCCTTCCCTCCTTAGACAAAGCTTCTCTAGTATGCTGACATTCACCTCTGCGCAGTGTCAACCAGGACGTCGTCATCAGACTCAAGTGGGGCGAGACCGAGTACAAGGGAAAGTTGGTCAGCATCGACAGCTACATGAACGTCCAGCTCAGCGGCGCCGAGGAGTACATCGACCAGAAGATGACGGGAGCTTTGGGCCAGGTTTTGATCCGGTACGCGGCCATTTGTTCGACACACACGAACCCCCCTCTCCCCCTCTTGTCACCTACGATAATCGCTAACTGAACACGCTACAGATGCAACAACGTCCTCTGGATCCGCGGCGCGAAACAAGGCGAGAACGGCGACGTAAAGATGGAAGGTTGAGCGGGAAGATTCCCCATTCTCCCCACAACGAGCGGAAAGACCACGAAGCGGAAAAAAAAAACATCGATACCGGGAAACCGCTCTCACGTACTTTGGTTTTCGAGTAGGAGACAGGGCGGCGGGAAGGGATAACGATTTTCACGATGAGCTCGGAGCAATAGAACATCAAAAAAGGGACCCCCGAAAAAGCTGGCGACGGAACGGAATTTGCAGTTTTCCCCCAACGTCAGGTTGAACACCGCCAGGTCGCGCTGCGCAAGAAAGAAACCATCTACCTCCCCCTTTCGCAGCAACTATAGAAGAAGAAAAAAGGGGCGCACACCGTTGTCGGCGCCTCCAGTGCCCTTCCCCCTTATGGTACTACTATTTTTCCCCTCGCAGATACTTACATAAGACAAGCAACCTTGCGACTGCTGCAAAGATCCGATGACGCTACCTTGATGCGCTGTGTCTCGCTCACCCAAGTGTACGCCTCGATAAGCCACTCGTACCACACCCGCGAATCATCTGTCTGGCGCCACATCGTGACCTCCAGTTCAGTGTCGGCAGGGTAGTAGATCGGTTGCTGTGAATGTCAGTGAAATTTGTCCATTTCATACCAGTGAATTTAGGGCCTTTTTTTTAATTTTTGGCTTACCTTGATGGGAAAGAAGATGGGGAACCACGAGATCATGTCTTTGCTCTTGCGGTCAATCAGCTCGGGATGCGTGCTGATTTCCACCTTTTCTCTGTCACCGGTCTGAGGCGCGTAGAGGACGGACTCAAAGTATCCGGCTAAACCGTGGATGACACCCCTCGTGGGGCAGACGAAGGTGAGGTGACAGAAGCGCGAGTTGTGGTCGTTGGCACCGACGGCACCCGCCATGCTGCCGCCTCCGCCGCCCATGACGCCGCCGGCGCGTCTCGTCTCGATCTGCTTCAACGTGGCCTCGGAGACCGGGTGGGAGAACTCCCACGCCTGCTGGAAGCGCGGGTGACCCGGCACTCGCATGGCGGCGAAGTCGAGGGCGAAGAGGCGCACCACCCAGGGTGTATCGAAGGCGTTGGGCTCCGTGGGGACCCTGGTGAGGAGGTCGGCGTGGATGCGCGGCGTCGCGATGGGGCTCATGTGCGCCGTGTAAGACTCGGGGATCGAGATGCCGCCGGGCGCCAGGACGTGCTGGACGCCGTCGAGGCACTCTGGCGAGAGCTCGTTGTCTGCAAAGGAGCCGAGCAGCTCGGAGACCAGGATGTCCACCTTGCCGTAGACCGGGTTGTTTTCGGGGGTGCCCGAGACGAGAGGACCCTTCCAGGCGCGCATGTCTGTCTTGACGACGGTAACCTTGCCGCCCCAGATCATCTCGTTCTGTCTGAGGAGGTAGACGTATGCATTGGGGTTCTTCTCCACGGCCCAGACTTGGACGGGGACGCCGGTCGCCTCGCTGGCCTTGAGGGCTCTCGTCACGAGAGG